ACCTAGTTTATTATATGATTGAGAAAAGATTGGAATAGTTGTTGAAGTTGTTAAAGTTGTTGAAGTTGTTAAAGTTGGTGAAGTTGTTAGTTGTTGTTGATGTTGTGGATTGTGTAGTTGAAACCTATTGTATGTTGAGGGAATTATGATTCTAAGAGTTATGACCATTGGAGGTTGATTCACATCTTTTCGCAGCAAATATCTGGGCTGTCGATCCCCATCTACGGGCGTGACCTACGGACCGTAGATCAATCGACGGTCCGTACTGGTCAACCGTCGATCAAGACAGAAGTTGGTTTTTGGGGCGTCGATCTACGGGTCCGACCTACGGTCCGTAGCTCGATCCACGGACCGTAAGTCAGGACCGTAGGTCAACACTTAGTCTTTTTCTTAAATGAATTCTGGGGAAAAATCTCTGACGCGATCTACGGACCTACAGTACGGACCGTAGGTTCATCTACGGTCCGTCGATGGCTTCCGTAGATGCCACCTGTGTCACCAGAAATCTAAAGTCTCAGCCAAGTTCCCCATTCCTTTTCTCACTTTCTCAAGCAAGTTCCAAAGTATTATTACCTATGTTTTATGGTTGTTTCCGACACTCCATAGTGCGTCTAAGAGTTCAAGAATCCCTCCATAACATGTGATCGAACACCTTGAATTCATAATTTCGATTCAAGGAAAGATGGTTCCAAGTCAAGTGAAGTTAGCAGTCAAGTTAAGTCAAGAGTTTAAAGTTGAGTTCAGTCTCAAAGTTATTAGGGAACTATGTATTCCCAAAGAAGTTTTAAAGAAATATTTTTACAATTGAACAAGGTTGGAAACTGAGATTTCCAAAGGGGCCTTCGAGCTAGTTTTTGAGTAATTATCTCATATCAGCAGGAATAAATATGTTTTAAAAACATAAGAGCCAGTACATTTTTGGGAGTAGTATCGAGCACCGAATTGGGGGAGCGTTCCAAAGAACCCACAGCCCCCATAGAACCATGTTAGCCACCATAGGTAGAAAAGGATCATGCTTTCTAGATGAATCCTTTTCAGATTAGACTAGTGGATCCATTAGGTAGTTCAGGTCTTATACCTTTGGCCGGGTATAAGATGCTTTGGCAGCGTGAGGTCGATCGCTGTATCATCACTATAGCTCTTATGTGATGGTTGTCGGTTAGAGAAACTCCCACAGCAGTTATTGTATTTTCATACTCAGAGATTATTGTATTTTTATATACATCAGATTATTGTATTTCTATATACATTTCAGGCTTATTGCATCTTTGTATACACACAGAGTTTATAGCATGTTTTAAACAGTCTTTCTTTATATCGCACTTGTCCTAAATTGTCTTATATTGAAAGAAGTCAGTCAGGTTGAGTTGAGTTGAGACAGGTAAGCTATTCAGTTTCTTCCAGATTTCTCCTTCTAGCCGTTGTTGCTTAGTTTCCAGCTTGCATACTCGTACATTTCATGTACTGATGCCAGTTGGCCTGCATCGTTTCATGATGCAGATTCAGGTATCCCAGACAGTCAGTCAGCTAGTTTTGAGTCTCTTGACTACGTATTTATGTAAATATCCTATTTTGAGATTCGGGTTGCCTTAGGGCCATATTTTATAAGTTAAGTTGTTTTTTGAAATATTGCATTGCTTTGAGTTATTCTGTTGAGTTAGGTTTCCGCTGAGTTAAGAAAGCCAGGCCAAGGGTTCGCTTGGGGCCAGCAATGGTCTCCGAGTGCCGGTCCCGCCCAGGGTGTAGGCTCGGGGCGTGACAAATACACTCAAGTTTTCAACCTTTATTAAAAAGAAGAAAATCTTAAGAATGTTATAGTGATGATGATTAAAAGAATTAATGAAGTACTAATAGTAACTTTGTAAATAGAAGAAAAGCAGCTTGATAAGTGTTTTTTCAAAAAGAAAAAAAGGAAGAAGAAGACTTTACCTAAAAGCTTAAAAATTGATCTAAAAAAGAAGATTCTTGAAACAAATTATCACATGTATTAGCATTAAAGATATGTGAAAACTCAAAAGTATAGCAACATATCGTTATGATGTCGGAGAAGAATGAGGTGTACGTGTATGTAAATTTTATTTTTATTTTTATGAAATAAAAATATTATTTTTGATTGACCCTCAATTTTTCAGAACATGATTTGACTTCAAAACTCATCGTAGGTAATACTTTTGTATAATCCAATAACTAAGATTTTTTTTAAGAAAATGAGATTTAAAAAAAAATATTAATGTTATTATTTTTATTCGCATAATAGAGTCAATCATAAAACATAATAGTAAATGTCCAACAGCATCCAACACAAATATTTAGATTATCACAAGTACATTAATAATATTCTTGAAATATTATTCCTTATTAAATCCTTCAAGAAGACTCAATTAAAAATTATCCAACCAATGTAACCAATTATTTTTTTAAAAACAATATTCAATTCTAAAATTAGGTCGAATATGAGTAATTTCAAATTTTTGGGTCAGTAATTATGTCGAATATGAATAATTTCAGGTCAAATTTGACGATAGTTCGAGCTTATACACTACAAGAAAACAGGTGTTTAGCTACAGACGCAAATCCTAGCAAAAGTGATAAAATCCCTAGCTAATGTCAATTTAGCTAGGAAAATGACCCTAGCAGACCTTCAAAGCTAATAAGCTCTTAGCTAATTTTTAGCTAGCAAAGTATGTCATTCCTAGCTATTTTAGCTAAGATATCTCTGCTAGGCCCTTTCCGTAGCAAACAGTTTGCTACGATGTATACTAGCTAAATTCATAGAAAAAATTGCTTGATAAATGTTGACTTTACTAAGGGAAATGAAGCAAGAAGATAGACTTAGAAACCTCCTGATGGGAGGGTACACCTCTCTCTTTAATGAACTGGTTAATCTGGAACGTAATGGGAATGAATAGCCCCTTCAAACAATGATCAATTTGTATTATCATGATCAATTTATGCATCTATAACTACTCATTAGCCGAAAATAAGAGAATCTGGATTTTAAGAATGTCTGGTGAAATGACTATTCTGATGGAAGAAGTACACGATCATTTTACACATATAAAGGTAGCAAGTAAGTGTTCCAATTTTTATTGTCTGCTAACAGTGATCTATGCCAAAAATTGTAGAGAGCAAAGGAGGAGAAGCTTATGGCAGAAATTACTTAGAATAGGTTCTATCATCACTGAACCTTGGTGTATTTGTGGATATTTCTATTCTCCCCTACTAGATTTTGAATGAATTAGGGGCCAACAGGTCAGTGAATCTGAAACAAAAGACTCTCAACAGTAATAAATGTATTAAATCTTTACGGATATGAAATCTATTGGAATAAGGTATACTTGGACAAATTGTAACATATGGAGTAGAATTGACAAGGCACTTTGTAATGATTATTGGATGATACAACACAGAACCTGACAGCTCAATTCAAGAAGAATAGTTTTTTTGATTACTCGCCGATTCTTATTGAGCACTATAGTGCAGATAGTGAACCCCACAAGCCTTTCAGATTTCTGAACATACTGACTAAACATGAGAGCTATTCAAACATTATTACAACCATTTGGAAACAAAATGTAAGAGGAGATATATATTGAAAAAAATGAAATTGTGTAAAGAACCTCTGTAGAGGTTATTGACATAGGAAATGGGGAGCTTTGGCAATAGAGTCACTGAAGCAAGAGAGAAGTTAGAATCCATCAAAAAACAGATCACTCAGCATGTGGGGACTAGTGTAGCCAACATTGTATTTGACATAGAAAAAGAAGTTGTAGTTGAACATAAAAAATGGTTTTATCTCCAGGAGAAGGTGTTGAAACAGAAATATAAGGCTCACTGGCTTGAAGTAACAGGAGACAACAACAAGAAGTAGTTCCTTATATGTGTGAAAACTAGAGCCAACATGGATAATATTTTTATTTTAACCAGCCTTGATAATAGACAGCTCCTAAAACATGATGAAATTGAGAAAGAGATACTTCAATTTTATAAAAGCTTGATGGGTTCTTGGAATGATTGTCTACTAGTATTGAACTAATACAAGACATCTTTTCTAAATACTCTATTGAAACCATATAGGTTCCTTATTCAAACCTTAAGGTGGAATGAGAGTCAGACAGAAACAAAATACAATGAGCTCAATAAGAAATATACAGATGGGAAGAAGTTTGGAACAACCTGTTCATGTCGAACTGTACTTCCACCACTGGTATGCCTTTAACTTATAACCCACCAAATATAATTGATGGATGACCATTAATTGTATTATAGGCATTAGAAATAACGAAACTGACCGATGAATGGAATAATGCTCTAGTGATGTATATGTTGTGAAGCACCTGATTTCTCCTACATGAGCAATTATATTGATGGGTACTAAAATTTTGCTTATGTACCTGAGTTATATTACCACGATGCAGGCTGCTACATAGTTAAATTCCAAAACCAAAACGATAGAGATGAAGTCCTGTTCACTGACCCTTAACTATTGGGGTGCATAAACTCTTAGTATAATTTCTAGTCAACTAGAGAAACAACTCTTTGCGGATGTGTGTACTGCTAAACAAAAAAGGGTATCCTACACCAGAGTCTTAGTGAAAATGAATGTAACACAAGGTTTGCCGGAAGAGGTTGAATGGGTGTTTCTCGAACAAATACTTATAGAATTGGGATTTCCCAGTAAAATGATGGCATGGATAATGATATGTTTCAACAGTGAGATACTTGAAGTTATTTCAAATGTGAAATCATTTTTTTGGTGAAATAGTCCACCCTCAAACAAGTGCACTTAACACCACAACTAACAACCAAATATACTTAAAAGTTCTTTCAAATGTGAACTCACTTACCTTGCGTTATGCCCAAGAATTAAACAACAAGAAAATTTCTCATTAACAGAGCAATTATTTTTTTCTTCTTAGAAAACAATTCACATGGATTTAAATTTAAACAAAAATAACTTTCAGAATAAATATCACTAATGAAATGAGATAAAAGCATACCTACATCCTTTCTGACTTTCCACATATCCACTTCTTTTCGTTTTTGGTTTTGTGAGTCATTAGAAATAATTCATCGTTCTGAAGCTCTTTACCAGTTAGTTCCTTCTACAACCATTAAATATATTGTTAATTATCAACATAAATCAGAGAATAACATAAGACCAATACTAATTAATACTAAACAAAAATAAAGAATTACTTACATGTCTTCTTCTATACTCAGAAATTCAACTGATCCTCCAGTATGTAAGGAAGGACCTTCTCCGTTATTAGATGACATTCTATTCTTTGAGTTGATTGCTGATATTTTCTTAAAACCGTCAGAGTTTCAATATTGCATCAAACTGTCCCAGTGAACTTGAGCAATCCACTTTGGTATTTTCTTTCTTCTTAAAAATGTCCTCTTTGCTTTTCCCAAACTGTCACTCAATCTTTCACTATCCACCCGGTTAAAAGTTTTTCGAACAAGTTTTTCTGCAAATATAAATTAAATAATCAATTTAGTACTGTTTTTCAAGTTGAGACGCACCATCTAGTTAAGAAAATAACTAGTTATCAAGAAGGTCGGCTATGGAAACTTAGGAGACATTGTGTAAACCGAGAAGTGTAGGAGGCTTTTATATAATTGATTTCCAAGTGTGTAACAAAGTTGCTAAGCTTCTATGGGTTGTATCCTTCAAAAAAAATAATCCAAATGGCTACACGACTTCTACATAAAGAGATAAGATATATGCATAATAAAGACTCTTAAAAAAACTTGTTGGCATGTGAGAATGATTTTCGAATGTAAAATTTGATTCAATCATAACACACTACTCATTGATCTGAAGCAGTTAGCTGAAAAGGAAAGCACAATATAAAAGAAACTTACCGTTTATGTCAAAATTCTAGAAAGTGATATGGAAGAGTCTGATAATTATCAAAGAGATAGTACTGAAACATCAGTACATTCTATGAATAGCATTACTGAAAATGCTAGATGACTTCAACAACACTAGAAAGAAAAAAAACATTAAGCTTGAGAAATCATCCTCCAACTCCACACAAAAAGACAATATCAGGCCAAATGGAGGAATCTCCTTTAAAGACAAAGTAATTTTCCCACTAACAAGTATACTACGAGATTCATGTATCGATTAGTGTCTTCTCACACGTGTGCATGCATACTTTTTTTATTTTTAGAATTTGCTAATGCGAAAAATCTAATGCTTAAGTTAAATATGCAAATTCTTGTTCAGGTATAGATACCTCAAAATCATTAAACCATTTGTCTCGTACATGCTCTGGAACTTTGCTCCAACAATGCCATGGTCCAGAGAAGCTTTTTTTAAAGGCTAACACCATATCTCGAACAGCCTCATGTGGGCAGAATCTACAAAATCATTAATACAATACATTATGAGAAGATTATTAAATGAAAACATATTTAGCCATTACTTCTATAATTTTGTATTACTTACGTATCTCCATTTACTCTCAAGGATTTTATGCCACCAAGTGTATCTTGTCTGTCCTGTGGATTACTACTTTCAAAAGATTCGAGTGTTTGTTCAGGAGAAACATCTTGAGTTGGAGTTTCTTGTTGAGCACCAACATTCTGAGAAAAAGGTGTTTCTTGTCGTCCAACATCTAGAGAAGTAGGAGCTTCTTGTTGACCACCAACATTTTCAGGAGTAGTTATTTGTTGAGCATTGGCTTCTTGAGATGTATGTACACTGGTTTCATGTGATGAGACAATACACTGGTTTAAACCAACTTGCTGAGATGTGGGAATTGATGATTCACTAACATCCTTCTGAGAAGTGTCTGGTGGCTGCTTGTTGTTTTCTCCTCCTTTGTTAGTTATGCCCCCATGGCCTCCCCAACTACGTTTGATGCCTCTTCCCTTTGTCATATTTCCTGATCAAAATCTAACAAGAACTATAGAATAATACTCAAGAAGTCACTTAAAATTTGTCAACATTTCATGCTATAAAAATGATTAATGTAGAGAAAATAATGAAGCTCATTTGCACTCAATGTTCACTAATATAACAAAAGCAAACAAGATAGATCGATTCACCCATTTAGACGATGAATTAAAAAAATGTACTTCTGCAATGATATTACGTAGTATATGTTGTTGCAGCAAGGGTAGAGTTTGTTTTTACTCAATAAAAAAGAACTATAGTCCTGCACAGTCGAAGTGTTACATCAAAATTCTTGACACATAAAAATGGTGAGGTTAAGACTCTACTACAGTATTCTGCAAACATTTGCTACTATGGAGACTACATTTCATCCACACTTCTTCATATGCATATCACTAAAAATTGCAGCTCTTCCTCTACTCCTTCCATAAATTACATATCTAAAACGATAATAAATTACTGGAAATATACTAAGGTAATTTCACTAACTCAACTAGTTTAGGGAAAAGTACATATATATGACTAATTGAATATGAGATCAAATACTCTACTAAAACATATGATAAAACTTTAATTGATGGCTGCTAGGCAGCATCAAGAACCTTCACTCAACAAAGTCACTTAGTAGATGGCATCGCTAGAAAATAAAAGCATTTAAAAGAGTGCTAAATAACCATTTTAACAGATTGATGAATCAACTTCGAAAAAAAAATACTTAGGTTTTCAGAAATGACATCAAGCAACAGAAAATAGTAGCAATAGTAATAAAAGAAAACACTCTAGAAAAGAAATTACAGTAAAAAGTCATTATCTTTCACTCTCATCAGTTTCAAAGTTTTCGTCACTTTGTTCATCTCCTTCATCTTCAGAGAGTTCAAAATCAGATTCTTCTATCTCTTCATCACTTTCAATAGCATTAATATCATGCTCTTGATCAATTTCATCAGTCTCATTTTCAACTTCATGCATTTCCAATTCACCGTTTTCATGACGTAAGCTATCAAGATCATCAGTGATATTTGGGATTATAGGGGGTAAATTGTCATCTTCTTGGTATGGGATATTTGGAGAATCAATTTGATTTCTAGCTTTTATTTTACACACTGCCCACCAGTCAATACTATCTTTCTTTTTACTAGGATATTCTGCAAAATAAACTTGTTGCGCTTGTTCAGCCAAAATAAAAGGTTCATAAGCATAGCTCGAGAACCTTTTTTTATGATTGATATCAATCAGCCCATACTGATTATGAACCTTACACCCTCGACCCATTGTTGGATCAAACCAATCACATTTGAACAAGACAAGAGTTGTTCTTTTCTTTGTTGGATTGGAATATTCGAGTTGTATCACCTCACCAAGCAATCCATAATAGTCACTTTCATAGTCATTCCAAGTTGTCCCTTTTATGCACACACCACTATTCATAGTTGATTTTTTAGAGCCATGACTAAGTGTGTGGAACCTATAGCCATTTGTAAAATATTGAGGCCAAGTTTGCACCCACTTATAAAGACCAAAAGCCAAGTCTCTTAACCACTCATCACTTATGTTGTTAGCTGGATTGAGAACTTAAAAATACACAAAATAGACCTATGATCTATATAGTTATGTATAAATTATAACTTGATGTAGATAAATAAAAATAGGAACTTTTTCATACTATAGTATTTTACTCACATAAGCTTCGAACCAGTTGGCAAATCTAATATTCGTCTCTTTATCAATTTCCTCGAGACTGATATTTTCTGAATTTATTTTCAATTCAGCTTCAAAGATACTATAGAAGTAAGAATTTATTATTTTTAAATTATCCATTCATGCAGGACATATATATTATATAGGTAAAATCTATAAACTTACGAGATGAATTGTTGAATCTCCTCACAATTCAACAAAACATATATTCTTGCCGCATCCCACTTCTTATCAGACAAAATCGACCATTCATCTCCCCACTCGGACGTCCAGGATGCAAAAAGATGGATAGACAACCATCTGGTGCATCAACTTCACCTCCATTATCATTTCGAGTAACTTTGTTGAGCCTAGGTTGCACATTAGGCTGGAAATAATGAGAACTGAATGTTGAAATTTCTTTAATGATATAAGCTTCACATATTGATCCCTCGACACGATATCTATTTTTCACCATCTTCTTTAAAGTGTGTATTTCTCTACATTGGTACATATATAGTTAGTGTGATGTTAGGTAATTAAATTAATTATCTAATCAATGATATAGTTTAGACTTTTACTGCTCAAAAGGTTACATCCATCGAAAATGGACTGGACCTCCAGCTATTGCTTCATATGGTAAATGAATTGGCAAATGTTCCATAGGATCAAATAAACCAGGAGGAAATATTTTCTCTAGCTTGCAAATTGTAACCTTTATGCTTTTCTCAAGCTTCTGGAGATCTTCTACTTTTAACACATTTGCGCATAAACCTTTAAAAAATAAACTTATCTCTGTTAAGGCATTCCAAATTGGCTCTGGCAAAAGATCTCGAAATGCAATTGGTAGCAACCTTTCTAGAAATACATGACAATCATGACTCTTCATCCTTGATAATTTACAATCTTCCATGTCTACACATCTAGACAAATTTGAAGCATAACCATCTGGAAAACCTTAAGCTTTTCAATCATTCACATATCAACTTTCTTTGTTCTTTTGTCAATGAATAGGCTGCCTTTGGCTTCAAAAATTTTCTTTCATGCTCCAACAATTCAAGCTCTGGACGATTGCAACCATTTCGCACATCCCTTCTAGCATTTAAATTGTCTTTTGTTTTATCCGTTACATCCATTATTGTGTTGAATATATTATCAAACACATTTTTCTCAATATGCATCACATCAAGATTATGCCGAATAATATTTGTACTCCAATATGGCAATTCCCAAAAAATGCTTTGTTTTGTCCAATCATGTTGATCCCCAAACCCTGGCAACTTACCGGAGACGTGATGATCACACACTTTTGGTAAAGGTACAAACTTTGTTCCAAACTTCTTCACCAAACAACCTATGAGGAGGAGTAGAGTTCTCAACCCTTCCTTTTAAAAATGACTTTCTATCCCGTCGAAATGGATGACCCATAGGCAAAAATTTACGATGGCAATCAAAGAATGAACCTTTTCTCCCATGTTTTAAGTAAAATACTTTAGTTTTACCCATACAACAAGGGCATGCTAATAGACCGTGTGTGCTCCAACCAGACAACATTCCATAAGCTGGGAAATCATTAATAGTCCACATAAGTGTAGCTCGCATTTGAAAATTCTGTTTCTTATGAGAATCATAAGTCTCAACCCCATCAACCCATAATTGCTTTAATTCATCAATAAGAGGTTCTAAGTATATATCTATATTCTTTCCAAGGCTCTTTGGACCAGAAATGAAAAGACTTATGAACATATAAGGGCTACTCATGCACATTTCGAGTGGCAGATTGTACGGTGTAATGATTATTGGCCAACAAGAATAAGAATGGGCCATATTCCCATAAGGACTAAATCCATCAGCTGCAAGTCCAAGTCTTATATTTCGAGGCTCGCTTGCAAAGTTAGGATGACACTGATCAAACTTCTTCCATGCCTCTCCATCACTTGGATGACTCATTACCCCAGGTTATTGACGGTATTTCCAGTGCCATGTCATATGTTCAGCTGTCTTTGTTGACGTATATAATTTCTACAACCTCGGAGTTATAGGAAAGTAACGGAGTACTTTGTATGGAACATCTTTTTGCCTTCCACTACGTCTTCTCTTAGGCTTGTAGCACGGTTTACCACACTTTGGACAATCTCTTCTGTCTTGATTATCCTTGTAATATAGGATACAACATGTCTGACATACATCTATCTTTTCATATCATAGCCCAAGTTTTGCAACCATTTGTTTAGTCCTATAGTAATCAACAGTAATTTTACATCTTCAGGTAAGAGCTCCTTCAAAAATAGCAAAATTTGATTATAGCAATTGTCACTCATGTTAGACTCATACTTAATGTTCAACAACCTGCACACTGCTGACAGGGGAGAATGAGTCCGACATCCATCAAACAATGGCTCTTCAGCAACTTTCAACATTTCAAAAAATTCTTGAGCATTTTGATTAGGAGGTTCTTCTTCATCAACATCCATATCAAATACATCATTGTCTAAGTTGAAACTAGGACCAGATGCATCCAAGACCATAGTACGATATGGATTTATTGGTGTTCTATTAGAACCTATGTCATCACTTTTACTGGTACTAGGTTGAGGCCTAGAAATTGGTACAAAAGACTCCCCATGTGATTCTCATTGATGATAGTTGGGCATGAAACCATGCTTGTATAAATGAGATCGAATATCATGAGGTTCAAGAAACCCACTACTGTTTTTACATTTTGAATAAGGGCACCTTATACTTCCATTAGAAACAAAATCAGGTTGCATTAATGCAAACTCTATAAATCCACACACACCTTCTATAAACTCAGAAGTGAATGTTGTTCGACTTGGCACTAGTCTCTTATACATCCACATGTGATCAACTCTAATGGAACTCATGCTTCCTATCTAACAAACAATGATAAAACACTTCTTTTAGTACTTAATAATTTATTAATTAGTTAGTAATCAAGTAAATGAAATTCAAATTTAAACAGAAATGACCATACACAAATATCTCATTTAAGAAGGGTTCAATATCACCATTTAACTAAGAGAAAAAAATTGTATTTTTCTAATACAAACATAAATTTCCCTTCCAGTTAGTCAAGTCTAAAAAAATTATGCGATATCTATAATGGATGAAAAAAATAATATAGAAGCACGTGCATTATACATACTAACACTATTTAGTCACCAAAGTCCAACACAAAATCAGCCACAAAATTGCTTTTGATTCAAGAGGGACTCCATAGAAGAGCAATTGAAGTGCTCAAAGCTCCACCCTTGGAAGTATAAGGTGGGTATGCAGAGACACTTAT